TCAAATTTAGAGACGAATTATTGAAAAAAATATTTTAATGGTACCTTCGGACCATAAAACGCACCCAAAATTGAGTCCATTTTTCTATGTGAAAAGGTGCGTCTTATTAATAGTCTGAAAAATACGGTACTACTAAAATGTTAACTTAGCCAAAACACAAATTTATTTATATTTATTATTTATTAGGGTTCGACAAACATGGATAAACATTAATTAGGTAAATTTATTTTCAAAGAAACCATAAAAAGGTTGGCCTGTTCGGAAATACTCGGTGATCGTTGGCCGGACGGTCCGATCTGAGCGCGTCCCGTTCTGGACTGAGTGAAAACGTAAACAAAACACATCGAACGCTGGCTTCAACTTTTGGTGTTTATATGTGCTTCTAGTAATACAATTTCTTTGATTTTCACCCTCTACCCTCTTCCTCCATTTCCATACCCTCGGCTCCTCGGCCCAATCCTCCCCTCATCCATCCCTTTGTCTCCTCACCCCCACAACCATTCTCATCCATCGTTTCCCCTCTCCCCCCTCTCCTAAGATCTGCCCTCGGTCCAACTCCTCCTCCCTCAACTCACTGCACCCATTCAACATATGTTCCAACGTTTCCCATTCCTCCCTGCATAGCCTACACCACCTCTCCTCATCGGCCATCCAGTATCTGTTAGCTCTCTCCTCGTTTCCACAACGGAACCTAGCCACCAACTTCTTCCCCTCCTCATCTCCTTCCAATAACAAGTATCTAGGCAGCCCCTCCGTTATTATGTCCCTGTACCTTTCGTTTTACCTCCCCTCTTTTATTTGTGTCCTTCTTTCCTGTCTCTGCACATCTCGATCCCTATCTCTCAACTCCCTCCACATCTCCCTACCCACCCTTCGTCTACTATTTATCTCAGTTACCGAGAAGCCCGCTCGTCTATAATAGTTGTCTCTGTCTCCTTTCCCATATTTGATCTTTCCCTCTCTAATTTCCCTCCAACACTCCCCCAAGATCCCGCAGTTTGGCCTCCCTTCTATTCTTTCTTTATATTTCACTGCTCTCCTGCCCCCCTCCACTCTGACTTTATCCACCTTTACCTCTTCCTTCACTATATACCCCGGTGTTTCTCTCGCCACCCCAAGCACCCATCTCCAGTATCTAGCTTGCACGTCCTCCAGCATTGCCTGCTCTCTTCATCCCCATACCTCTGCTCCATACATCATCACACTGCTAACCAGACCTTCAAACATAATCTTCCTCGCTGCCACATTCTTTCCAAAGACTCTCTTCCCCCAACCCCATACTTGTCCCATCACCTTATTCGCCTTTTTTGCCATAGCTATCACATGGTCCGCGTATACAGTGCAAACAGACTTGGGCTCAGCGGACATCCCTGCCTCAGTCCCTTCGTCGTCCAAAACACGTCGCTCAGCTTATCTCCCACTTTTATCCTAGACATAGTCTCCATGCATATTTCCTTCACTCTCGCAATTAGGTGTTCCGTGATCACGGCCGTCTTAAGATACGCACGGTTAAATCCGAATGTTTTTGGTTCTTGGTCTAGTGTTAGTTCTACTTTTTGTTTAATAAAAATATACCACAATCTAACGCTGAATAACAATTAAAACTAGAATTAACACTAGACCTGGAACTAGAAACATTCTAGTTTTAGAATTGGAGTTGTGTATTTCCCTTTGTTACCAAAAGTCCTTCCTCCCCTCTACCTCATAATCACTTTTACTCTTATCACCCTAAAATCCAGTCCCTTCCTTTATTGTTCAACTATATTACACTGTATAAATGACTTTTTTTTAACTTTGATGTTAAATTGGTCTCAATTAATTTTTCGTACTAACTTCATACTCTTTCTCCCTCTAATAATAGACCTAAAAATGAAACAATTCATGTCGATACGTAAAATATGTTTAAAGTTGGAAATAGTTTTAATTAAAAATTTGTCGACAATTTCTATTAATCGAAGTTGTATCGTGCTAAAACAATAGGATGAAAACAAGTAGGTGGAGACCACCGACCGATTGCGATTTGTTTTCAAACAGATGGAGGGAGTACGCTGGTTGAAGTTAAATTACCAAAAACAATACGAACTCGTATGTGGAAAATTATGATTCACATACACGTAAATCGAGCACTCTCAATATACGTACACGTTGATTAAACAACCGTCATTTTAATCAGACAAGTTGAAATGTTAAAAATAATGGGAAAATAATTTTTTTCTCCGGTTTGTTTTGTTTGTTATCGGAAAATCCTTAAGGAAATCAAGTTATAGAAAATCGATTCAATTACAAAGGTTAATTTTTAATGAAACGTCCAAATCGGAGAAACAGAAAACGTTTGTTTTTCCGGGAATTTCGTTCTCGTAAAACAACCCGACAAAAGCACCCATAAACACTTGTTAAAACGCTCCGTTGAATGGGAATAATATGGTAAAACAGTGTAAACGCACACGGAATCCTAGTGTTTACAGCAATTTACATGTCACCGGCAGAGATACCATAGATTTTGGAGTCGATTTTTTAAAAAAGTGTAAAGGTAACAAAGAACAATAAAATTTAATTTAATTTAAAAATTCCACGTTTAAAATTATATCAAATTAAAAAAATAGAACGACATCTATGGCGGGTGTTGCAGATGAAAATTTAATAAAGTTACCTCCCCGTGCGAATGTTATTAAGAATTGAATGAAATTAAAATTCTCTTTACGAATTTACCTCCAATTCTCTTTTGTAAGACAACAAATAAGTGAAAAATAAAATAAAACGAGAAAACGTTGACACTTTTTTAAATCACGAAAACCAGGTGTACCAACACACTATCTTAATTCGCAAACATCCCACGACGAGGAGGGATTCGAAGCGGTACTTAAATAGATTTAGCTAAGAGACAATGGGGTGTAAATGTGTTTAGAATTGGGATTACTCCTGAATAAACACCTAATCTACGACGTATTGTCGATTTTAACACAAAAATCTTAAAAAAAAACATTTATTAGAATTGTTTTAATTTTTGAAATGTCAAATTTTAAAATATGGAGATTATAAAAATACGAGTTTAACCTCTTTTTACCTCTACGGTATACATATCACACTTTTTTTTGTTTGTTCCTTTGACCTTTTGTCCCCAAAAGCACACGCATCACATTCGCAATAAATAAACCATATCTGTAACTGGATTTCAAATAAGCTTTCTCTCCTAAAGCTTGTTTTTTTTTTGTAATTACCTTTTCCTATTTGTTTTAACTCAAGGTTTATTAAAAAATGTTAAAAATTATTTAAATTATTAACTATTTTATGTCAATGTCAAAAATACTTTTTTGAAGAAAATCGATACTAATCGAATCGCTGCTGTGAATCAATAAAATTTTCTTTTTGCATTTTAATCACTTTGTCAAGTGAAAATAATACAAAAAACGGTAAAATTAGTATTAAAAATCGGAAAAAATGCTTTGAAGTGAAGTTGCAGTTTTTCAGTATGTTTCTGTCAAACCGATCTGTCAAATTAACATAATTTAAAAATGGTTCAATCTAATTCGTTTCCTTTTTTTGATTCTGTTTAATAATATTGAATATGAATAATAAAAATCTTTTAATACCTACACCAGAAATCCCCCAAAGTCCAACCATGTTTCAATAACGTACTCAAAGAGCAACATCTCACCCCAGATACATCCCTTTCTGTTAGTAATAAGTTTAAGTTTAGATTATATTGTATTGGTTTGAAATTATATCGATTTATAATGTAGATATTTGAGAATTATATTTGGATTAAATCCTTTAAATAACCCGTACAGCTTTGACACGTGTACACTCTTTTGTTGAATATTTCAATAACAGTTTCATTAACAACGGTTTAATTATACGTTTCCCACTTGAAACATTTCACACATTATTTCTAACGTAAGCTAGTTGCCGCAGTTTTATCAACAACTTAAACAACCCAAATTGAATTGTACACATTATTCAATATTTTCGCTAATAGCAACCGTACCGTCTCCGGTTAAGAGCAATAATAGTTTTTGGGTGTTGTTAAATTTCTTAGTTGTTCCATGACTGTTTCATGGATGTCTTTTCTTAATGGCTGAGTCTTAGAAATAAAATGTTCTTAACACCTTATTTCAAAGAACGGATGCTCGATACGGTTTATATTGGGCGGGTATAAAAGTATACGAAGTTGCCTTCTAACTTTATTTAAATATTAAGCATTCTTTTATCTGTTTCACAGCATGTTTCGAGTCACAAAAGAACGCTTCCACATCCATACTTTATAGTAGTACTTTTTTATTTTTACACCCAAAGATATTAAATTTAGGTTCGTCACTCCTTAAGTTAATAATTAACTTTCAAATGGGTTGCGAATCCTTCATATGCCATGAAGTTACGAAATAAATACACCTCTACGTTTCTACGGTATGTGGTACTGTCAATACGAGTAAACCACTGATAAGTAAACAGCTGTTTTGGAACGTTCTCCGTTCTGTGTAGAAACTTGTTTAGTATAGAGGATTGTTTGTTTTAAATTTATTCCCATGAAATAAAATATGATTCTTGAGATGATTCGTTAACTTAATTTATAGGTGTTTATAATTACAGTCGAATATCGATTGGAAATCCACATGATCAGTTTACCAAAACTCATTCGTGTCCCTTTGTACCATTCGATAATTACATATAGAAATATTAGTAACATGAAGGATATTTGAATCTCCTAAACCACAATTATCTTCTCGTATTAACGATTATTTTGGTAATTTATGTCTCATAAATAACATTAAAATATTATTTTTTATCAAAATAAGGTTAAAAGTTGATATATTCGTTTCCTAACCTATAATTATCGAAAATGTCAGTAGAAATCAGAAAACGTCATAAATTTTTTAAGGAATACCAACCGAAATCCTAAAAATTGATTTTGAAAGGTTTAAAAACAATAAATTGTATTATTTAAATAAAAAATTATTTGATTTTATTCAATTAATTATTTATTTTTGTTCCTTTTGTTTTAGAAAATCTTCAAGCGCCAAGGTTTACAACATCTTCATCAACAAATAGCATAGTTAGGTTAGGAACAACAAAAATCATCCAATGTCAAGCGTTCGGTGAGTATTTTTTCGTGTTGTTCCGTTAATAATAATTCGTCCCCGTTTTCGGCCCCCAATTCACCTTTAATTATTGAACGAATAAAAATTTCCTTTTTCTCAAACACGCAACGTTCTAGTAAAAAAGGGTAACAATTTTGACCTTTACACGTCAATAATTGATCGAAACGATAAAACGAACGCCTATTTTAGCCCAAAATTAACAAAAAGTCGCTTAGAATAAATTTCTAAGTAACCAAAAAAAAAGTATTTAACAAAATTAAATATATAAAGTGTTATTTGGGTTGCCTACTTTTTCGATAAAAAAAAATTTAAGATTATACATTTTTAAAAAGGAAGTTTCTTAGATGATCCACAGCGGAAATGACTTCGGATACTTATTGTTTATTATTCATTATTCTTTAGAGAGAGCTTTACCAAAAAGAATCAAAATTAAAAAAAATCGATTTTAATATTTTAGTCTTTCTTGAATTAGTAACAATAGAATCAATAAGACAATGGATTAAAACCATTTTCAAAGCAGTACATTGAACGTAGCCCGAGTTAAACGACCGACGTTTGTATGTGTTTCTGTGCTTCTGTGTCTCTAATGCCGGATATACAAGTGAAATGGTCCACGTTTTGCATTCTGGCGATCCAATGACGCCAGGGATTGCTGCTGTTGGATATCGAACCCCCCAGGATCGCAAAACAATACTCTTGTTGGCTACCTCCCCGGAAAAGACCTAAAACTGTCTCAAATCAACTAGTTTTGACGTTTCAATTAAATTAAATTAAATTTATTTTCTAATTTTGTTCAAGAAAACAAACATCTATTAATTAAACATTAATATGATAGTAAATTTAAATAATTAGACCCCAAAACCTAGCTTGGGACGTAAAATGACATGTTGTGACGAGGTACATGTCGCGTGCTGTATTCATTAATACAAATTGATTTATTAAAATTAGTTGAGCTTTACGCCGAGGTGATGTTCTGCCAAACCAAAGGGGATGAAGCTTCCACAAATTATTTCGAGGGGAAACACAAATTAGTCGTTAATTTATTATTGATTTAATTTATTTTTGTTGCTGTTGTTTCATCGTGTATATTAAGAACTTAAAGATTAGATTTAATGCTTTTTTTTGCAAGACGTAATAAGATTGTATGCCCTCGTAAAAAAAGGTGATAGGATCTCGTTTATAGTTGTACCTAAGGTTCCATAAATCCTTCGTTTATGACTTGTTTTTACAACGAAGCAGGTCGAATTTTATTGTTTATTAATAAAAACGTTATTTCATTGATTTCTGTTTTTCACGTTGATTTAATAAAAAGGGTTTTAGGTTAAAGTTGTTTATATCCACCTGTTCCTAATACCTATCGGGGTGAGTTGAGTTGAATTAAATTCAAAATTAAACTCGCCCCGAAGGGAAAGGCAATTTCGTGCCAACTTTACAGCAAAATAGTACCTCCTTAATTAGTTAACCCTATACACTACTAAGAATTTCTATTTCTTACCTTCAAAATTAGTTACATTTTATATACATTTTCAGAAATTAATTATACATTTCAATATTTGTACTTAAATATGTTCGTTAAAAATTTATTAATAATAAATTCAACCAATACTTGTCAAATAGTTGTGAAGTTGGTAACAGTTAGAAGATTCGTTTCGGAAAATGCAGATTTAGGATAGCGTTGAAGGCATTAATTTTCAAAGTTTAATTTTTTAAGTTTAATATCGCTTATAAATATCTTACTTATATATAACAAAACAAGTTATATCCAAAGTTTTGTGTGTCACTATGAATTTCTCATTAACCCCAACAACTTACATCAACATGACAAGTTTCTCCTGCATCTACTTCTATACTATGAAAATAATTTTAACTACATATAATACATATAATTAGTTAATTAGAACTAAAAGGGGAAGGGAAACATATATTATAGGAATTAGAAGCGAATAAAAACAATAAAAGATATCGTTATTTAATTTAATTCATATATTTTTAAAAAGAAAACTTAATATTCAATAAAGAATGAAGTTAGATACAGTTATAAATTGTTGATTTAAATGTCAATAAAATATTTAAAACTTAACCTCATTTCAATTTTTTTTCTTTATTTTTATTTTAAAACCACAACACTGGTCTTGATTAACTTAAATTTAACCTTCATTGTTTTAATTCTCTATTAAATTTCGATATTACAACATTCCCCCCATTGATGCTTTAAAATTGTCCAGTCGTATAGAACACGGTAACGAGCCGCCCTGCTTGTTTACGAAGGGTTTCCTACCTGGGATGTTGGCCCCTTCGACCCTTCGTGGTAGTTTAGCTCCTCGCCTTTTCCAACCCGGTCCATCCATTATTCAAGGACGAATTAAGGCGAAGAAGAAGACCGGACGCGGACGTAGATGCCTCCGGTGAACTTGTCTCTGCTCACCACCTCTATCCAAGATCCGAAACACATTTTTTTTTTTGTAAAGATCAAGTGAATCCCTTTGAAAGCAAAAAAGAGTTAAAAAAAATAAAAAGATGTCTTTGAGGTTATGCTTTTCTTGATCAATTTAAATGACATTTTTATCGACTTCTTTGAAGTTAGCTTGAATAATTTTTTTTATAAAATCCTTTGATTATTGAAATATTTTATTCACGGGGTAATAATTTTCTTAAATATATTAATCAATAACGTCTATAAAATAATTTTATTTTAGTTTTAACTTTTTGTTATTTATTACTAACTTCACATTATTTATATAATATGACATTTGACTTAAATCACTTCGAAACGTTTCAAAAAGTCATTAACGATAAGCGATACTGCAACAATCAACAATTAAACCTATTACAATCGACCGTTTTTGAGACAATTACAGGTAAATTTTTGCGTAATAACTGCTTCGAGCTTTCTTGAAAACCTTCTCGGGGTGCGATGACGTGTAACACGCGAAGCGCATTTCAACGTAAGAAATAATAAGCGATTTAAACCGCCGCAACACAAGCTTTCTGGTTTATGTACCGGGAATATTATGTATATGCGAACTGCGAAGGGGACGAGACACGAAGCTTTTATTTCTAAAAGCTGGAAACTATACCTCGGGCTTTTGTCCTGTTCCGTTGTTTCGTCTGCACTACATATTTTAGCTTGACGTTTTCTTACTTAACCACTAAATTTCTTTTAAAATCTGTACAATTTTAAGAAAAAATACTATAAATATTATATTTTTGTTATAGCTTACCCCCAACCTCAGTACAAATGGCTAAAAGACGGAGAGCCAATTACGGATTTTTCCGCGGAATCCTTTTACAGAATTTTTTCAATGAGGTTAGAAGACGAAGGCAGCTACAGATGTATTGCTTCGAATAAAGTCGGATCGATTATAAGTGAAGAAATGAAAATAATCGTTGCATGTAAGATTTCTTACTAGATATTTCAAAATTAAATTAATTCTCTAATTCATTTAGATATGGGTGTTTTTGATAATCAAACTGATTCAACGATTGAGATTCAAGCGGGAAACGCGGCAATTTTAGATTTACCAAAGATACAATCTTCCCCTGAACCGGAAGTAACATGGCAAACCGATGAGGGTCCATTGAAATATTCCCGAAAATACGCAAAGTCAAAAACGAATCAATTAATCATTCTATCAACCGACTTGGACGATCAAAAATCTTACCGAGCTCGGGCGATTAACACTCAAGAAGGAAAAGAAGAAAATAGCGCTTATATTCGTTTGAACGTTGAAGAAAGCGACACGACCGTCGATTTACCACCGGAAATCATAATCCCACCTGAAAATGTATCGATTATAAAAGGTGCCGATCAAACCACTTTAGATTGTATAGCGAACGCTCGAAGATTGTACGAATTACAAACAATTTGGTACAAAGATGGGATTTTAATTGAAAACTCCGCTATTTCTTATACTTTTAATGACCTCTGGAATCGAAGTTTAACGTTAATCTCTGCGAATTTATCTCACACCGGAATGTATGAATGTCAGGTTTCGCTTAAAAACGGGGATTTTCCGCCCGTTTCGGCTCAAGCTAAAGTGTTGGTACAAGAAAAACCGAGGTTTGCGAGCGTTACTAAATCGGAAATGTTGGGCGATTATGGATCGCAAATTATTTTACCTTGCGATGCCGTCGGTATTCCAAAACCGAATATTTCGTGGTTTCGAAATGGTAAAAATGTCGAGGAAATTGCCGATAAACGGTATAAAATCGAAGAAGACAATTCTTTATTGATTACCAAGGTTATTATTGCCGATATGGGAATGTTTCAGTGTTTTGCGAGAAGTGAAGCTGGTGAAAGTTCGGCATCAACTTGGCTTAAAGTTAAAAGTAAGATTTTTTTAAATATTATTTAAATTACAGTGTTATACAAAAAGTGAGCAACACTTCTTCTTTAATATGTAATAAAAACGAAAGCATCTAGAAAATTATTTTATATTGAAAGATCAATCAAAAACGTTGTTGCAATAAAAAAGAAAAAAAACGAATAAAAATACGAAGTTGCTGATTTTTTGGTAGACACTATAAAGTCACAACATTAAGTATACCTTACTTTTGTGATTAATTGTATTAAAAATCATCAATTTATTTTAATTAATTGTATTATGTATACGAAAAAAAGGGTTTAAGAAAAATAAGATGAGGATTATTAGAAGTATCAAAAGGAACTTGATGAGATTAAGAACCGGAGGTGAACGGCGAAATAGAAAAAGTTATTACAACGTTATTAGTAAGATTCCAAACCAAAAAAAAAAATTTAATCGTAGTTTTTTTATTTTTGATTCCACTGTAAATTTTTAATTTATTACATCTACTTTTTAATCACTATTGTATACACATAAAGATTTGTTATGCAAAGCACGATAAATGCTTCGTTTACCGATTTGATTTTACAGTACTGGATTTTAAATTCCAAGTATCGATATTCTGCATGCGATCGCATGGAATTACTCAGTTTTATTTTTTTATTTCGATTTTTACTGTGTGGTTTGTTTGAAACTTCTTCGAATTTTATGGCTTCTTTTTCTTACATTCACTTCGAGATCCTCGCGACATCTCTTGGTGATCAATTTTATGCGAAATTCTTTTGTACATATAAAGTTCAACTAACTCCGTTAAGGTGGCGCTGTCGACATTTTAACCGTCCAAAAACATGTAAACAACCCCTATTATAACTTGCAACCCCTTTTTATTTATTTTTTTTTAAATAATTTTATTTAAATAAAATGTTAACTAATATAACAACAACCATAGTTTATTTCATTATCGGTAAATAGTTTTTTTTATATCATTAAAGAAATAAAGAAGCCATAATTTTCGGTTGTAATTTTTTATTATTTAATTTATTTATTTTTTTAGCTTCGATTCCTGTTATGGATGTAGGGCCCCAAAACGTAACTGTTTTAGATGGTAAAGATGCGACGATAACATGCCAAGCAGTTGGTGCACCGGTGCCAAACATAACCTGGATATACAACGGTAACATAACCTCACTTTTTAAATTTGTGTTTTGAGTATATTTTATATTGTTGTGAATTGAATGTTATTAAATTAACCCCTTTGCTTATTTGTGGCGTATACTAATCTATTTTAGAACAAAACGAGGTTGAAGTGTCTGGTAGAATCCAAATTTTGGATAACGGCGATTTGTTGATTGCGGCAGTTAAAAAATCAGATACTGGTCAGTATACATGTATTAGAGCAAACGAAGCGGGTCAAGTTAAAGGATCCGGTTATTTAACAGTTCTTGGTAAGTAAAAAAATGTTGTGATTAATTTTGTTTGGTTCGTTTTCTAACCTAACATTCTTAGTTTATTTTAATTAATCGCTTTTTTAATTTTTCCAGTCCGTACACAAATTGTGCAACCTCCAGTGGAAACAAGAGTACTTTTAGGACATACAGCAACTCTACAATGCAAAATTTCTTCGGATCCTTCGGTACCTTACGAATTATTGTGGTTCCACAACAAACAGTAAGTTCTTTTTTAATTTAATTTTATTTATATTATTAAAACGATCTTTTTAAGGTTAATAAATCCGAATTTAAGTTCACGTATAAAGACAATGTCGGATGGAACTTTAGAAATCCAAGCGGTGAGAGCAGCCGATGTTGGCACATATTCCTGTACAGTGGCTTCTCCAGGTGGAAATGATACACGTTCTGCTAAATTAAGTGTTATTGAGCTTCCGTTTGCTCCAATTAACGTTAAAGCCACCAAATTGGATACTGGAACACAACGCGCTGTTAACGTTAGTTGGACACCAGGTTTTGATGGAAATAGTCCCATTAAACAGTACATTATTCAAAAAAGAGAGGTTCCAGAACTTGGTAAGTTCATTCTTCACATTAATGTGTTAAAATTGCTTTTGTTTATGTTTTATTTATTTTGTTTTTGTTGTCATTGTTTATTTATAGCTTAATCATTTCTTTTGGTCCTTTTATTTTAGTTTGATTTAAAAAAACCTATCCCAAAATTAAAATAAAAGCAATTTTAACATTGTTTGCATGAGCATGTTTCAAATTAACCCTTAATGTAACCTTTAATTAAACAACTTAACCTCAAACTAAAATTAAACTTTTAAATTGCATGCTCATATTGATAAAGAATTCATAAAGTTCCAACCCAAACATGTAAATCGAACGGAAATTACGTCGTTTCAAATTAGTACCCCCTATTCCAGGCCCGATTCCGGACCCCCTATTGAACTGGATCACGGAATTAAGTAACGTTTCGGCAGATCAACGTTGGGTTCTTCTCACAAATTTAAAAGCGGCCGCTGCGTATCAATTTAGAGTCAGCGCTGTGAACAGCGTTGGCGAAGGAAGTCCTTCAGAACCGAGCGGGCAGGTTATGTTACCACAAGAAGGTAAGAAATTTTCTTTATGCATAAAAAACAATGTTTGACGTTAGAAATGTTTCTTTGGATTTTTTCTTTATTTTATTTGTTGCCTAAATGGGACTTAGGAGTGGGTGAAAGGGTTTATTTTACAGGTGGGGGTTATTTTATTAATTATATGTGATTTTTAAGCATGATGGATTTTAATTTGTTAATAATCCCAACAGATTTTTCATTATTTTTAATGCAACGTTACTTATTAATTTCTCGATGAGTCAATTTAAGTTTTTAAGCATGATTATGAATTTGTTTTTAGGTTTGTTACTTACTTATTTAATTGGGATCAATTAAGTACTATACAATAAACTGTAGGAAACAACCACTGATTATTATATAGGGTCTATTTCTTATTGTTTTAGAATAAAGCTAAAAATAAACATTTTTTTTTAATGTTGTCAAAGAAATTAAATTTACAGTTTCCTGTAAATTATAACTAAAAATTAAGAAAACATATTTCTGATATTTGAAACAAATACACTTGTTGAACTATTTAATTTATATTTGTTTTACACAAAAGTTAGTATAGATTGCATTATTTCACATTTTTTATTAATATTTAATATTATTATTAAATGACTTAATAAATTATTGATAGATGGCGCTCATACATTTTTAAAATTCAAATAAACAGCGACATTTGTTTGTATTCAAAAATTTTCTGAAGTGTCAAATTAAAAATCTTGTTTTTGAAGATCGATTACGAAAATTACGAAAAGTTTAATATGTTAGAATGTTAAATATTAGAAAATAAAGTAAATTTTATATAAATTTTTAGTAGAATAATTTTTAATTATAGTACTGTAATTTACAGGAAACTGTAAATTTAATTTCTTTGACAACACTGAAAAAAAGTTTATTTTTAGTTTTATTCTAAAACAATAAGAAATAGACCTATCTAACCCCCTACTTTTGTAATCAGAAAAAAATAACGAAGCTGCATTAGCAGTTAGGTTTCTGTTTATAATGTCTTCATTTCGAGTTCACCCACTTTTTGAGACGTTTCGCCTAACATGACCGTACCACATCACGCAAACTCTTCATAAGTTTCTCTCGAAGGCCCTGAAGGACCCGGTTTTCTCCATCTACTCCTTCGCGATTTCTACAGATGGCACAAAGTTGCAATTGATAGCAAAAAAATTCATCATATAACAAAGATTGAATGTGTCATCACCAATTTTCTTGTTAATTTCTTATTGTATATACCAATAAATTCAAGTTTGTTCGCATGATGCTTTTAATAATATTTTTGCATGCTTTCCTTTGTTAAATAAATACTTATACAGTACTAAATTAAATTATTTTATAGCTCCTTCTGGACCACCCGTTGGATTTGTAGGATCAGCTCGAAGTTCCTCAGAAATAATTACTCAATGGCAACCACCTTTAGAAGAGCACAGAAATGGTCAAATTTTAGGTTACATCATCCGTTATAAACTTTATGGTTACAATGAAAGCCCATGGACAATAAGAAACATCACAAATGAGGTTAATACAGCTTAAATTCATCTTCAACTTATCTTTATTATGTTTATTTTGTAATAATTGTTTTTTAGGCTCAAAGAAATTATTTAATAACCGATTTAATCACTTGGAAAGATTACATCGTTCAAATAGCCGCTTATAACAACAAAGGGGTTGGTAAATTTACCGATGGGGCTAAAATAAAAACGAAAGAGGGTGTACCTGAAGCTCCGCCTGTTATCGAATCGGTCGAAGCGCTTAATTCAACGGCTGTTAGGGTATGGTGGACTCCTCCTGATCCACAAAAAATCAACGGGATTAATCAAGGCTATAAATTACAAGCTTGGAAATATAGCGAACAAAAACAAATTAATATTGAAGCTAAAAGAATAACTGTTCATCCCAATTTATTAGATCCTCTCGCTAAACAAACAGCTGTTATTGGAGGGTTAGAAAAATTTGTTGAATATAATGTAACGGTGGTTTGTTTCACCGATCCTGGGGATGGTGAAATTAGTGAATATTTTAAAGTTAAAACGATGGAAGATGGTGAGAAAAGAAATTCTTTGGGTAATATGTCTTTGATTACCCTTTTTTTTTGTTTTAGTTCCTGATGAAGTTTCTAATTTACAATTTGACGAAGTAAGTGACCGCGCTGTAAAAGTCTCTTGGTTACCTCCTAAACACACAAACGGTTTTCTTCGCGGTTACCAATTAAAATACGAAGTAAAAGATCGACCAGAAACTCGTCGCATACAAAACTTAACCTCCACTACGTTAAGTTTAAAAGTAACTCATCTCCAAGCTACAACTCACTACCGTTTCGAAGTGTCCGCTTGGACTGATGTTGGTTATGGAACCCCGAAAATAGCTGTTATACAGTCTGGAGTTGAACCAGTTTTGCCACATCCACCATCAAAACTCGCTCTCTCCAACATTGAAGCATTTTCTGTCGTTTTACAATTCACACCTGGTTTCGATGGAAATTCTTCAATTATAAAATGGACGGTTGAAGCGCAAACGGCGCGAAATTCAACGTGGTTTGAAGTATACGATATTTCTGATCCAGATGCTTCAACAATTACTGTTGAAGGTTTGGTGCCATTTACTTTGTACAGATTAAGATTAATTGCAAATAACGTTGTCGGAGCTTCCGGTCCGTCAGAACCAAGTAAAGAATTTCAAACGATTCAAGCACCCCCATCTCACGCTCCAAAAAATGTAACAGTTAGAGCTATGAGTGCTACAGAACTACGAGTTCGATGGATTGTAAGTTGTATTAAGTTAGATTAATCTCAACATGTTAATTTAATTAATTTTATTATTTAAGCCTTTACAACAAATGGAATGGTTTGGTAACCCAAGAGGATACAACATAACCTACATCGAAAACTTAACCAGAAAAACCTTAAGCGAAACCATTGAAGATCCAAACGCAAATTCCCACATAATCTCAAATCTCCAAGAATTCGCGTTATATGAAGTCACTATGCAAGCTTACAATGATGTTGGAAGTTCAAAACCCAGCTTGAAAGCGTTGGAACGAACTCGAGAATCGGTACCAAGTTTTGGACCATTAAACGTCGAGGCAAACGCGACTTCTTCAACAACAATCGTGGTAAAATGGGGCGACGTTCCGAAAGAACATCAAAATGGGCTGGTGGAAGGTTTTAAAGTTTATTATGGTGCTGATACAAGATCTTTAGTCCAATTTAAACTAATCCCTAGTAATTCTACGTTTACCACAACTTTAACTGAGTTGAAAAAATTTGTTTTGTATCATATACAAGTTTTGGCTTATACAAGATTAGGGGATGGTGTTCCAAGTACTCCATCTGTTCGAGTTCAAACATTTGAGGATGGTAAATTAATAAGATTTTAAAAGAAACATTTTTAGCTAATTAATTATTTAGTTCCAGGTGCACCATCCAACGTTTCATTCCCTGATGTTTCGGTTACATCGGCTCGTATAATTTGGGATGTTCCAGAAGAACCAAATGGTGAAATTTTAGCGTATCGAGTAACGTATCAGTTAAATGATACGCAAGCGGGTACTAGTCGATATTCGAAAGAGTTTTTACCGATTGATAGAACTTTTCGGTGGGTTTATTTGATTGAAATAATTTTTTTGATTCTAACTTTTGTTTGATTATAGGGCTACACAACTTGAACCGGATATGTATTACCTCTTCTCTGTGACAGCTCAAACTCGTTTGGGGTGGGGAAAAGTCGCCCATGCTTTGGTGTATACCACGAATAATCGGGAAACTCCCCAACATCCTTCTATGCCACAAATAAGTCACAGTCAAATTCAAAGCAAGCAGATTACGTTTAGTTGGACGCCTGGAAGGGATGGCTTTGCCCCTTTAAGGTTAGTGTTATATTATGTTAAAGAAACAACGCTTGAACATGAACTGGCTTTATTTAGTCTTTTGTGGATATATTGTCAGATATTTGATTTTTTACCTGAAATATGTCCAGGACTATTTTTTGCAAAGGATTTTTTTTGGTTATTTCATGAGACTTGAGTGGTAACTTTTGATTAAAATTTTCATATTTACTACATAAGTAACAGTTTTTAACAAAATTTTCAATGTGTTCTGTTATACCAGGCCAATATACTGTATTTTTTGCTCTCTTTATGCATTTTTGTATACCTAAGCAGTGATGGGCGCTGGGTAAATACCCGGCGGGTAGGTATTTCTAAAATGGGTATTTATCCGGGTATTTACCCCGACCCAGGGTAAATACCCAAACAGTGGGTATAAAAGTGATACCAGTAAAAATATATCGATTCCAATAAAATTGAAGAGGAAGACGATGAGGACGTTGAAAACGAGGAATTGTCAACAATCAAAGACGTATTATCATTAGACGAATCTGTCGTAATTTAGATTAGATCAAGTTATTATGATTGTTATCACCAAGCAGCCCTCTGCGTCCATTGTTGGACATAGACCTTCCCTATTCTGTGCTGTTTGAATACAATTGTTGGTCATTCTTTTGACGTCTACTTCGTCTGTTCGCTCGCGGTCTTCACTCAAGCAACCATTTTGTCCACTGCTCATTCTTCATTCGCACGACATGGCCCGTCCAGTTCCACTTAAGCTTTGCCACAATGTTGACCACATCATTTACGCCAGTTCTTCTTCGTAGGTTTTCATTTCGTATGTAGTCCCTCAGAGTTAGACCCAGGATCGACCTCTCCATCTATCTTTGCGCAACTTGGACCCTCCTGGCAGTGGTTACCATTAATGATAAAGTTTCGGAGCCTTATATCATAACCGGAAACACGCATTGATTGAAAGCCCTTCTTGGCTTTTTCTCTTGAAGATGTCTCTAAGATCCTTCTGTTTAGTTCACTTGTTTGATTATCTCTCGATACACGAACCTTATAGCCAAGATTACATTGCTGTGAACCCTCTCAATCTCATTATCCCCAATGTTGATGTTCTTCTTGTTGATATTTAGCACGACTCTTGCACACACCTCCTTTAAGTCGTTCATCATTAGTTTAATCTCTCCAAGACTATCCGATATAAGAACTATATCGTCCGCGTAGCGCAAATTATTTAAGCATTTGCAATCAATGTTTATGCCTTTTTGGGTCCAAGCCAGTTGTTTAAATGCACTCTGAGGACTGTGATGAACAATTTGAGTTCCAACAGTTTTACTCACAATCAGTACTTTACTACTTTTACTCTCTTCAATACTTTCATGCAATTTTACCGTCATTGTAGCATTCTTGTAGATGTTATAAATAAGTTTGGTATGTCGATAAGCGACTCTGCATTCTTGAAGTGCTTGCAAATCTGCCATCAACTCAATTTAAATAAAATTTATAAATACCTCAAAATACCTATCTTGGGTAAATACCCCCGGGTATATATCCAGAATATTTACCCTTGAAAATAAATACCCGGGTATTTAACAACACTGTAGCTAAGTGACCTGTATGAATATTGTCCAAAATTTTGTGTCTCATTGCTTTTGGTATCATTATTCTTTGATCCATATACAATAATCTATCACATCCTTGTATTATTTGATGTCTATTCTTATAATATGTTTTCAAATTTTGATTTACTTTATTTATGCTGCTTGGTCAATTATTTTTATAAATTCTTTTATTTGTCTAAATTCTTCATCTTTATATGTCTCAATTATTAAACTTTTTATCTTTTCATCAGTTGTAAAAACATTTCTACTTCTAAGTCTAAATTATCTTTAAAAAAGCTTTATTTTGTGGTTCTTGCCAAACGAACTCATTTTTATCTTTGATCAATTGTCTTAATGGAAAAGTTTTTTCAGATAATTCAGGAATAAATCTACCAACATATGTTATTAAACCTAAAAATTGCTGTAACTATTTTATTTTTTGGTATTTCTATATCTTTAATTGCTTGTATTTTTTCTTCATCGATTTTTATACCATTTTTATTAAATTTGTGGCCTAAATATTTTATTTCATTCAATCCAAATTTACATTTTTCTAAATTGAACTTTATGTTATAGTTTCTAGCTAATTTAAAAATGTTCTCTAATATTTGATCATGTTCTTGTTTTGTTTCAGCATAAATTAAAATGTCGTCTATGTATACTTTTACACCTTTCATTTCAAACATTTCTTGAAAATATTCTTGAAATACTTCTGCTGCTGTTTTTATACCATATGGTAATCTTTTTAACCTATATCTGCCTATTGATGTACCAAAAGTACCGTATTTTCTCGAATCTTATCCGCACTCGAATCTAATCCGCACCTCGATTTTAAAAATGCAATGTTGGTAAAAAAAGTTGGTTTTCCAATGTAATCCACATCCGATTGTAATCCGCATTTGATTTTAGAGCATACAAAATTTGTAAAAAGGGTGCGGATTAGATTCGAGAAAATACGGTATATAATTTATTTGATTCTTTATCAAGTGGTACATTCCAGAAAACATTTAAGGCATCTAAAGTTGCAAAATATTGTGCATTTTTTAATTCTTTTGATATTTCATCAATATTTGGTAATTTATAAGGCTGTGAAATTATTACCTTATTTAATTCTTTTGGGTCTAGACAAAGAATTTACCCACTCAGATGTGCCATATACTCTTTCAATAATAAATTCATCTTAAAGTGGAAATGGAACACTTCTGATCCGCAGAATTTTAGGCGTAGCATTTTTATTTATCTCAATATGATACAATTTATATAATTTTCCTATTCCAGAAAATAGATCTTTGTATTCTTTTACTTTTGATTCATAACTATCATTTTTAATTATAGAATTTATTTCTTTTAAATCTTTATTAATCAATTTTAAATCTAAACTAGTTTTTAAACCAATACCATTTCACAAGTTTTCATTAACAACATAAAATGGAACCTTATATTGGAACCTTCTAATATTTTTATTGCATTCTTGGTATAAGAAAATATTTTTTGGGATGTTTTATTAATATTTTTAACGTTCAATCCAAAACCTTTATACGTTTGAATACTAATTACGTTCACGTCATCTCCAGTGTCTATTTTAAATTTTCCAATATTGTTATTTCACAACTTTCCCTGTATAGTTCTAATGGGTGCTCGTCGTGAATGACCCTGTATAATGAAGTACAAAAAGAAAGAATACATAGTAGATTTTAAAATTTAGTATGAAGTGGTTGAGACATTAACTTAATTTTTTAGATACTATACGGTTCAAAAAGCCGAAAACAACGGACCTTGGAGTTCTATCCCAGAAAGAGTAGACCCCCAATTAACATCTTACACAGTTTCAAATTTAAAACCCTTCACATTTTACAAATTTCGAATCAGAGCTACCAACGATATAGGACCTAGTGGATTTAGTCCCGAATCAATGGAAGTTAGAACTTATCCCGCAGGTTCGTAACTTATTAATCACCACAACCTTAAACTCAATTATAAATTTATTCTCCAGCACCCAGTAAAGGTGTTAACACAGTTAAGGTTGTCCCAATTACAACAACAAGCGTCGAAGTTTACTGGGAACCAATTGAAGAACAATTTTGGAGTGGCGACGTCACTTCCGGGGGGTATCGCGTCATTTTTCAACCAGTTTCCGATTTTCCCACCGCGTTACAAATGACTCCCAAAGAAGAAGTGTTGGGGATACATGTAAGAATAAAAATAATATTAATCAATTGGATTTAACTAATTTTTTTTAGGCGAATAAAATGGTATTAAGCGAACTCCTTCAAGATAGAAATTACGAAATCGTCGTCGTTCCATTTAATTCGCAAGGAGAAGGTCCTGCAAGTCCTCCAGCTACTGTTTATGTTGGGGAAGCAGTCCCCACTGGGGAACCTAGAGGCCTCGATGGTGAAGCTTTAAGCTCAACGGAAGTACGGTTACGATGGAAACCTCCGCAATTAAAAATGCAAAATGGAGAATTATTAGGATATAAGGTAATTACATAAAATTAATTGTACTGGATTACTCTACAAAGATTTTTTTGGTTCTAGATTTTTTATTTAATGATAAATTCATCTCAAGAACTTCCCCCAGAAAAAAAAGTAGAAGAAGAAATTGAAGTCGTTCCCGCTTCATCGAATTCGCATAGCTTAGTCTTTTTGGACAAATACACCGAGTATAAAATTCAAATTTTAGCTTTTAACCCTGCTGGAGATGGTCCCCGATCGCATCCGATAACCGTAAAAACCCTTCAAGGACTTCCAGGGGCGCCGATAAACCTTGCTTTTAGCGATATCACAATGAACAGTTTAAACGTTTCTTGGGATCCCCCGAAAATGCGAAACGGTGAAATTATTGGGTATTTAGTTACTTACGAGACAACGGAGCAAAACGAAAGTAATTAAAAAGAATTAATGTTTTAATATTTTAATTTTGATTGAGTTTTTATAGAATTTAGTAAACAAGTTAAGCAAAAAGTGACCACTACAAGTCTTTACGTTCAATCTTTGGAAGAAGAAATAACGTATACTTTTACTGTAAGGGCACAAACGTTGGATTATGGTCCTGCTTTATCAAGTAATGTTACAACAGGGCCTCAAGAGGGTTCACCAAGCACACCAAAAGAATTAACCTTAGTGAATACTTTGAGTAGTGTTGAATTACATTGGTTAAATGGTTTAAGTGGAAAAGGACCTATTTTAGGTTATTATGTTGAATCTAAACGAAAAGGTAATTTCGGTAACAACTATTTTTTGTAATTCGCGTTTTTATCCTTTTTTATTAACAAAAATAAAATAAATTTTGACAATGTAGGGAAATAGGTATGTAGCAGTTGGTAACACTTGAAAATAGAAATTTGAATTGACAATTAAAAACTGTCAAAACACAAAATGTATTCACCTGACAGAAATGTTTGATGTACACCTCCCAAAATATTAAAAATTGCTCAGAGTTCAATGTCCTCATCATTGTGGACCTTGTATTCGATGCTAAGAACGTGTTTAAAAATCCATAGACAAACATTGTCACATTGACAACTAGAAAAATTAATGACCCAATGGCACCAACTTCAACTGGTTCCATAAAATGTTACTAAAATCTCATTGCAGCCCGTTTGAGTACTGTTATAGATTTCATTACCGTCGCGAATTACAAAAACATTTTTTTCAATATATTTTATTAATTTATAGATTTATGTTTTTTTTTAGATGATCTTCGTTGGCAAACAGTTGTAAAAACAACAAACGGTCCTTTACAAGATTTTACAATTTCTTATCAGAATTTATTGCCATCGACCATGTACAATTTCCGGGTCATTCCTTATAATAAATTTGGAATTAGTTACCCCGCGTATTCAGATGAAGCCGTTTTAATCCCTTCGAAGCTTTATTTAGAGTATGGTTATAGGCAGCATAAATCTTTTTATCGACAAACTTGGTTTATGGTTGCGTTAGCTGCTGTTTCTATTATTATTATAATTACGGTTATTGCTATATTATGCGTCAAAAGTAAAAGTTACAAATATAAACGTAAGTAAAATTTTGTTTAAAATTAAATTATGTAATATTTTAATAATTTCTTTCTTCTTTTTATTAATAAAACTAATAGAAGAAGCTCAAAAAACGTTAGAAGAATCAATGGCGATGTCAATGGATGATCGTCAAGAATTAGCGATGGAATTGTATCGATCACGTCACGGAGGTGGTAACTTAAGCGGTTTGGGAACATTGAGTAAGAGAAGTACTTTGGCGCGAAAACCGGTTCAACATCATCAACAGCCTCCCGTTTTGGGGAAGAGCCCCCCGAGACCTTCACCAGCTTCAGTAGCGTATCACTCCGACGAGGAAAGTTTGAAAGGTTATGATGAGAATCCTGATGATAGTAGTGTTACTGAGAAACCTTCAGAAATAAGTTCGAGTGATTCGCAGGTAAATTATTTTAGTTAAATTAATAATTATTGAATAGAAGAATAAAAATGGGTTCAATTTAAATTACAATTTATCTCAGTATTTAGTTTAAAAAAATAATAACCAACACAATGGTAAACAATGAATTGAAGTGATTTGTTTATACAGGGTGATTTATAACATTAGGAGCAGACTAAAAGGGTAGGTACTAGGGGTCAAACTGAAAAGATTTGCTTAATAATGTTTTATTAAAAACTTAATAGATACATAGATATCGCATGTTAATTTTTTTTTAATAATTTAATGTCCATTTTTGAGAACCGCTTATATTGAGTGAAGAACAATAAAAATATTTGTCAATGTCGTCCTCATTTTGGAAGGAGCTGTAAATGTAGACAATTTATTGTTTCAGTAGTTTAAGTAATAAGTAATAGATGTTAAATTTAATAATTAATAAATAATTTAAATTAATATTAATTTAATTTAAATAATAGATGTTTAATTTTGACGTTAAATGACATGTCCGCTGCTAAGTAACCAAATCAACTGGATTGGCAGCAATAAAAACATGGTATAGTAGAAACCACGAGAGCTGGCAGTGACAGATCGCTTAAAAATGGTATGAATCAAGATATGGACGTACGACTTAGATTATTTCACCACATACATTTAAATGTAGGTTATGTTAGTAATGGAGGTTATATGTCAAAGATTGTCAAAGATATTATTTAATGATTTTCCTTAAAAAAAACATTTTCGGCTTGTGAAAACACTAACAGATTCATGACAACGCTCACAAGACGTTTCGATTTGAGGTTATAATTATAGAGTTACATCCCTTAGAAGAGCAGACGTACTTTTTCGACGTGGCCATTTGAATTGTACAGCAGACATATTAAACTAATGCTATCTCTTTCCAACACACATTACTCTCTAGCGATTTGTGAACTACGTATGGCATTTGTAAGAGAGGAAAACGATGATTTACTGCCAGCTCTCGTGGCGTCTACTATATCAGCGGTTCTCAACAAAAAAATACCAGTTTTTGAGCATTTTAACTAATTTTTAAATGTAGTCGAAGTTGATGTTGTAGTCCATTTTTTTAACCAATTTTTTAATTTAGAGGTAACAATGGTTTTTTTGGTTGTTAACCAGTTGTTAAGGTATAAAAGTGTTATATTGTTAAAATCCGCCCCTTTTGTGATTTTTAAAAAGAATTTTGTCATTAGTTCAACAATATAATAGTTTCCACTGTTCAAAATTTTATTTTCAACTTGTACCTTACTCTCTATTCTGAAGATGCCTGATAGGACAGGCGAAACATGTAAATAAAGAGACGTATTATATTTAATACAAGATTTTTTAATAACCAGTAAAAGTGCAAAAAAACCATTGTTACCTCTAATTTTTAAATAGCTGTAACTACTATATTACCAAGATTTTATTATTTTTGTTAATTATGCATTGTTTAAGTAACCCCGAAATGTGGGAAGAAATGCTCAGCCATTAGTTGAACTTTAACGTTCTATATCTTTGTGATTATTAAGTTGTGGTCAAAACATTATTAACAAAATATCTTCAATTTGGCCCCTACCTTTTTAGTCTGCTCTGTATGTTATAAATCACCCTGTATAGTGAATTTCACTTTAAAATGCAATATACAAAAATATATTTCCATAGAAACCAGGGAGTACCTTCTTACTTTGTCCCACATAAAATGCGACATTTCTGAATGTTTCTAGTTGTAGATCTAATGTTAGTTCTAGTGACTGTCCATGTTGCATATTTTTTATTGAACTAACACTAGACTTAGACCTAGAAATATTCGGGTTTAGTCGTGCGTCTTCAGAACCGCGATTCCCGGAAATGTTACAAAGTCAGTTTTCTTTTGAAATGTTAATCATTCAGGGGAAAGAATGTTAAGTTAGGTTAGTTTTGTTTTGAAACCATAATTATAGCGTGAAGGAATGTGAAGACAGGTAGTTTTATTTTGCAACTCCAATTAAAGCGTGAAGGAATGTTATGATAGGTCAGTTTTGTTTTGAAACCCTAATTATAGCGTGAAGGAATGTTAAGACAGGTAGTTTCCTTTTTAAACTCCAATTAAAGCGTGAAGAATGTTGGGATAGGTCAGTTTTGTTTTGATCCTCTAATTATAGCGTGAAGGAATGTTAAGACAGGTAGTTTTGTTTTGAATTCCATTTATAGCGTG